GAAGCTGACATAGGTGTTTAAGGTGTAAAGTTTTGCAGGATTTTTTTTCAAATATTTCTTTTAACAAATATGAAATTAAAGTAGTCTCACATGTTTCTGTCATTGCAGTTCTTTCAGATGATTTTTCCTGTAATAATAGTGAGAGGTCAGCTTGATAGCTCTTGCATTAAGAGGGAAAAGAAGGCATAGATGAAGGCAGTATCTTTACTAAGGCTTATAGAGGGGGTGAGTGGCAGAGTGGGAGTTGGAATTCAGGACATCTGGCTCCTGCTTGCTGCTTCTAAGGCACTGATGCTCTCACCTTTCTACCCAATACACAGAAGCTTTCCCATCCCCATTTCATAGGGAGCAAAATTGAGGCCTGAGAGCCAAAGCTACTTGCCTCGGGGTGTCATAGCCGGTAAATGGACTAGCCAGAACTAGGACTCGGTCTCTTGAATCCCAGTTCAGTTTGATTCTTGCGAAGTCCATGGGGTCTATATACCAGTTGCTAACATACAAGTATAATATGATTGTATTAAATATAAACATTTTTGATCTTACAGTAAGTCGCCAGACCTGAGAATAGGAAAAGAAATCTGTATTGATAAGAAGGCTGCAGGGCAGTCAGCCAGGCCCCTTCATTCCCTTTCAGACACTACCCTTGGAGTGCACACAATTAGAGTTCATCTTCAGCAAATTACTCCAGGCCATGGGGAGCAAAAGCCATGGCTGTTCCATCCATGTGCCCCACGAGTGTGCTGTGTAGGAAGTGCCTGTCTTTGTCTGGCATGGGTACTCAGACAATGTGCAAACCAGGTAATGCAATGACAGTGATTAAGAAGGGGAGGAGAGGGGCATAGATGAGATGAGAAGGATCATTGTAATGCAAGGGGGTCTTTGGGGAGGTATTGTCTCAGCCAGGGTTATTGTGATGGGCTTGGTCATCAAGGTCCTTTGGATTGAGTGGCCTGAATACAGCTAAATCTGGTCAGGCAAAGAGGCAAATTTATTGACTCGCTTACCTGAGAAAACTAAGCATGGCTGGATCTAGGGGCTCAAGCCATGCTGTCTTGACTGTATCTCACCCCCTTCCATTGTGGGCTCTGTTCTTCTTGGCTGTTACCTTTATTCAGATGATCTCTTCCTGTGCAGTGGCTGCTGGCAGGACCAGCCTGACTCCCTGACCTCTCAGTAATCTCAATGGAGAGAGTCTTCTTCCTCACGTTCCAGTAGAAGCCCAACTGTGGCCTCTGGGATGGAATTCACAGACTGGACAGGGCTGATCAAAGGGCCCACCCCTTGATCTGGGAAGGAGAGAGAGAGATGTTAGCCTCATCCAATTTATATAAATTATGGGGTGGCGGGGAAGAAGGAAAATCAGAAGAAGGGGAAAGGATGCTGGACAGGCAAAATCACACATAGCCACTGGCCTTAGAGTTTCCTCTGACTCACCATTAGTCAAGAGGAAGGACCAGACTAGCCCTTGTGTCTCCAGGTCAGTATTATCCAATAGAACTTTATGTGATGATGGAGATATTCTTTAATCTTCACAGTCCAGTGCAGTGACCACCAACCATATGGGGCTGTTGAGCATTTGAAATGTGGCTTGTGTGATCAAGGAACTGAGTTTTTAATTTTAGGTAATTTTAATTAAATTTAATGTAAATAGCTACACGTAGCTCATGGCTACCATAATGGACAGAGCAGCTCTTAGTGGAGGTCATATTGCAGGAGATGGTTCCCTGGAAGGCAAGACCCCCTGTCCCCGCTTTGGAGGAGAGTTGGGCTGAGGGTTAAATGCAGAGCGTGGAAGACCAGGATGATGAAGTTGAGTTGGTTTAGGTTGTGGAGTAGGAGGAAAGGGAGTTTGGTTGTGAGGGAGAGGACAGGGAGGAAGAAATAAAGGGAGAAACTTTCATCTGTGACATCATTTGGAAACCTCTAACTTGAGGAAATATTTTTTCTGTCTCATATATGAACCCAGTTTCTACCAGGAAGAAACAAAATCACAATTGACCTTGTTATAATAGCAAATTGAGGGGAATTCCATGACGTGTTATTGCATTTTACTCTAAATGTCCAACAATAAAAGCAACCATTGCCTGAAGCAACATTCTGCACATGACATGCAGCTACACATGGAGTAAAAGAAAAATTGGTGTGTTATTTAAAAAAACTGTAAACTTGTGTGATTGAACACAATTAAATGCAGTAGACAGAAATGACATCAAATGAATAGAACGAACCAAGGCAGCGTCCAGTCACTGGGATGTGAATCTGGGGCCGGTTAAAGACCAGACTTTCTGATGTGCCTGTCATCCTGCTCTGTGTCCTGTAGGGTATGTTGGGGCCACCCTGAGGTGGTGCTTGTCAAGCCTAAGTCCTCTTGGTGGTCACCACTCACCCACAAGTCGGGTTTCCAAGGGTGGAGGTTCTTGGAGAAGGCAGACTGATTTGCTCTGATCCCCTCTTGCCCACCTGCAGCGGGATGCATGGGCTTCCGCAGATTCAGTCAGTTTCCTAGGTTTGTCCACCGAGTGCTCATGGAGAACATGCCATGAGCTCGGCATCCTGTTGGGCCTTAGGCATCAAGCAAGAATAACAGAGAAGCAGGAAACTTGGTTCCTGGATGTGTGGTTTGCCTGGGTCCCTGGTCCTCAGCATGCCACTTGATAATCACCTGTAGACTCAGCTGCAGCCCAAGTGCAGGGATTAAGAGCAACCATACTGGAGACAAACTGGCCAGGTGTATGTCAAGCTCATAGCCAGTGCCTGGCATGCAGGCTATCCCCCCCACCCCCCACCAAAAAAAAAAGAGCAGCAGGTGTGTAGTGGAAAGAAGGAAGGCATGAGAGCCGCTGAAGCCAACCTGGGTAGAACCTGTGCCAGGCAGCTTGGAGGTATGTGAATTTAGGCGCAGTACTGGACCTCAGTCTTAGCATCTGCAGAGTGGGATGATGGAACTTCACAGGGTTGTTGTGAGGACCCAGTTGACTGGTGTTTGTTAAGGACCTAACACAGAGCAGGCTTCCAGAACCGCGGCTGCTCTGGTAAGCATGAGATCATGGTTGCTGGAAGGGTTGGACCAGGGAGGAGGTCTTGTGGGTGGTATGAGGATCCCCAGGGTGATTTGCCAACTTCACATCCAGCTTTGATTCATGTTAGGCTTAGGTGTCATTAAAGCTGATCACCAGGGCTTCCCTGGTGGCACAGTGGTTAAGAATCCGCCTGCCAATGCAGGGGACACGGGTTTGAGTCCTGGTCCGGGAAGACTCCTCATGTCGCGGAGCAGCTAAGCCCGTGCGCCACAACTACCGAGCCTGCACTCTAGAGCCCACGAGCCACAACTACTGAAGCCTGTTCTCCTAGAGCCCATGCTCTGCCACAAGAGAAGCCACTGCAATGAGAAGCCCATGCACCGCAACAAAGAGTAGCCCCCACTCGCCACAACTAGAGAAAGCCCGTGTGCAGCAACGAAGACCCAACACAGCCAAAAATAATAAATAAATAAATTTATTTTTTAAAAAATAAGTAAAGCTGATCACCATAAGGATCCCACTCAAGCTTTCCAGTCCAGTTTGCCAGCAAACCTGCAGTCCATCCTGATGACCAGAAACCCCAGGCAGAGCAGCATCTTAGAACCATCAGTCATGTCCTAGGATCAGTCTCTATGATGCTTCGATCACTTTCGGAGTCCTCAGGCAGACACATTATGAGTGGGTGTCACCATGTGGATGCTGATGGCACACTTGGAGCACTGTTGGGTCTCAGGCACAGTAGGAGAAAGGAAGCCACTCCTAGGCCAGGACGTCACTGGCAAACCTTTACCACTAACCCAGCCCTCTTGCCCCTCTCCCTCCTAGTGACTTTTCCAGCCATTTCCCCAGCAGACAAGGGTATAGATGCCTTTGGAAAGAGAATAATTCATTTCAATAGAAAAGATACAGTTTTGGAATGGGTCAGTTGGAAAGTGATGCCAGGTGCTGTGTTGCTGTGGACATAGGCTTTGGGCCAGTGACCATCATGTACATTCCTGTGTACCTGGGCATGCACCTGGGCCCGCTCTTGCCTCTTTGTTGGGAAGCAGAAATGTTTGGGTTTCACAGTCACTTTCTTTGTCCCCTTTACTTTCCAGCTAATGCTGGGCTTCTGTGGAACGGACATAGCAGGAGGTCCTGGGGCTGCTCCTGAAGAGGCTTCTTCCCATCTGCCTGTTCCTCGAAGCCCTCTCTATTTGTAGCCTGGATTTCCTTTCCATAGTCACAGTTCTCATGCTGTGATCCAGTCTCTAGCCTCACTCTTTGGCTCTTTGGAGGTGGCTATTGAGCACCTTCTGTGTATCAGAAACGTGGTAGATGTAGGGGACAATAGACAACCAGACATGCCATGTCTTAGGAACATCACAGTCTTAAGTGGGGAGGGAATCTAATCAGGCGATTACACACCTGAAGTGCTAAGTGCATGGTGGATCTGAGCCTGGTGTGCCAGCCTGGGCTTGCAAGGAAGCATTCCAGGCTCTCAGGTGGGTGTTCTGGGAAGGTTCCCAGGGCAGGAGGGGGTGACGTTCAAACTGAGACCCCAAAAGTAGGTAAGAGAGACCATCACGATGGGGAGGGGAGGGCAGAAAATGGATGGAGAGTGTGTTCCCAGTGGAGGGAGGGCATGCATGGAGTCTTAAAAAATCATCAAGAGTGGGAAAATAGAGGGTGGGAGAGTGGAGAGTCATGGGAGATGAAACTGGAGAGGAAAGCAGGAATTTTCAACAAATTGCATACTTTTCACCAAAATCTGAACTACTTTTCCCCTAAAATGTAATCAAAGCTAAAAAAAATACACATGGAAGGTAAATTTTATATTGAATATGTTCTTATGTTTTGAATTTGAAAGGCAGAAGCCAAATTATGACCATTTGGGTCTGAGAATCATTGGTTTTGCCTTGGCATGTGCTTGTTCATTCAAGGTTGGTGTTTCATATAACAGGACAGATGCTAATGGATTTTTTTGCTTTGCTGTTTCAGCACTTCAGGGAGCATCTAGACAAACTTTTTGCCAAAGGAATCGGAATGCTGGATATAGCTCTGAATGAGGCCTTCAACATTCTCAGTGATGTAAGCTCCTCTTTGATTTGCCTTTCTTTTCTCCAGGAGAATAGATGGGATTTTTTAAAAAGTTGTGGACCAGCATTATTGTTAGCCCTGGCTGTCACTGAGCAGTATTCACAGGCATAGAATGTGGGGAAGGTAAGGCTGGCCATATGAGTGATCTGGTGAACCAGGTCCACCTGGTGAAGCCATACCAGCCCCCTGCTGGGCAGAGTTGATGGTGCAGTCTGGTCAGGGGACTCACCTGACACACTCATTGACTCTGGGGCTGTTAGTGTCTCAACACTAGAGCACCATCTAATGCAGATTTCTTTTCACCTGAAAAACTCTCAGTTTCTTCATGGAGTAGACTCACTTCTTACTGTGTCACACTGAGTCCCTGCCTGTGGCACTGTTCAGAGGGAGAAGGGCTTCTCTGTGTGGTGTTTAGGGAGTGCTACAAGCTCTACCTATCCCTTCCTCCAGCCCCCTGGAGATTCACAGTACGCAGTGCACACTCAAGGCTTCAGTAAGTACTGCAAAAAAGAATGCCGCTTCACCTGCTGTCTCTCCCACTTCTTTGAACAAAGAATCCTTTTTTCAAGTAGCACCTGTTAACATCCTGTGAAATATGTTGGGGAAGCTTGGGTTGGTTATTCTTCCCCTTGAATGCAATTGTGTTAGGCTAGAACAACATGCATCTTTGTGATCTTTTTACTCTGGGAGGGCAGTAGGAAAAGAAATGACTATATTAATGCAGGTTCTGTATCATTTATTTAACTACTATATATTGCATGCTCTTTAGTGTCAGACACTGGGAATAATACACCAGTGAACAGAATAGACAAAGGGTTTGCTTTAATGGACCTAACATCCTACTGAAAAGGTCAGCAACCTATGGCCCAGGAGACAAATCAGCCTGCATCTTGTTTTTGTAAGTAATGTCTTATTGGAGCACAGCCATGCCCACCTGATTATGTATAGACTATGGCTGTTCTTGCACTACAATGGCAGAGTTGATTAGTTTCAATAGATACCATGTGGCCTGTAAAACCTAAAACATTTACTATGTTGCCCTTTACAGAGGTTTTCTGACCCCAGTTCTAATGGGAAGAGACACATGAAGTGAGTAGTCTTAAGGAGAACAATAGCACCACTGTTTCAGTGTGATAGGACTTGCTTCTTTACACAGTGAGGTCAGGGAAGAGCTCTCTGATTATGTGATGTTGGAGTAGAGACCTGAAGGAAGTGAAGGAGCAGCCATAATGGATATCTTGAGGAAGAAATTTCCAACAAGAGGAACAGCAAATGAAAAGGCCCTGAGGCAGGGACGTTTGACATATTTGCAATACAGCAAGGAGACCAGTGTGACAAGAGCAAAGTGGGGAAGAAAGAGTGTACTAAGAAATGAGATCACGGAGGTAGCAGGATCATGTGGACCTAATAGACACTAGTGAGGACTTTGGCTCTTGCTCTGCATAGGATGGAAAGTCATTGGAGTCTGAGCAGAGAATGACACAATCCAACTTGGATTTTAACAGTATCCACCGGCTGCTGTATTGATAAACAAGGACAGTAGCCGGAAGGACATTATCTAAGTGACATATAATGGTGGCTTTGGATGAGGGAGGTAGCAGTTAAAATGTTAAGGAGCAGAAAAATAGAAACAACTCTAGGTATTTCAAACAGCAGAAGTTGAACTCAGAAAGTTGGTTGCACAGGGGATGGAAAAGCTGAGAAATCAAACAAAGAATGAAACAATCCATGGATTAGTACCAGCAGGAGGTAGCTCCTCTCTAGGGCAGGAAGGACAGCAGGATGGAGGGATGCCATCAGAGCCTCCTCATTGTGGCTGTCCAGATGGGAACAAAACCATGGAGGGGGCTGCCCAGCACAAGCTGGAATCCTGGGGAGAAGGGCCTGTCCTGTGGAAGCTAGTGCCTTGGAGGAGATGCTGCTATTGCTGGAAAATGCCCAGGCCCCCAAAGCAGAGAGAAAGGGAGAAATGACTTAGAAATACCTTGGCTTCTCTCTTGTGGCCTTCAGTGTTTGTTCTCCTTAAGACGAAACTTGTCAAAACTGTTGGAGAGCCTGGGAAATGTGGTTTTCAGGAAAAAGACACATGGGGTGGAGCTGAAAGCAAACAAGTGACAGCTATGTTGAGCTGTCGCAGGAGCTGGGAGACCAGCTGGAGGCTCAGAGGCCTCGCCTCTAGGTAGCTCTCTGGGCGGCCTGCTGTCAGTTTCCAGGTGGGCATTCACCCAGCACTGCACTTGTTTTGGTGGTCAGTTATGCCTGACTCCATAACTTGAGTTTTTCCCACTCAGCTACAATGGCCTCTCAAGCCAAGGGTAGGCCCTGATTCTAGACTCTTTTACCAATAATATCTACTCACACATAGAAGGCCATTTACGTCTCAGTCCTGAGCCAGTATCATGTACAACTGCAGAGGAGAGAAACATAAGGAGGGAGGGTGTCATTTCAGCTTCCTTCATACAAATTGGAGGCCCTTCCTTCTCACCTCGCTCCAAAGTGCTGTTGGCTACAGATAATTAGCATTTATGTACAACTCGGTGTTTGGGACAGCGCATGCCTATTAACAGCGTGTTAATAATTAATAAACATAACTGACCAGAGTCAAGGACCAAGTTACATCTTTAAATTCTGCTTTGAACCCTGGGTAGGCACCTTCTCAGGACTGGGAGATGCTGAGCCCTTCATCTCAGCAGGCTTTTGCTAGGGGGTGATATTGAAAGGACTTGCCACATTTGGGAAACTGGTTCTCTTTATTTCTAAATCCTGGTGTCTAGTGCAGGGGGGCGGCTACTCTGAGCTGGGGAGTCCCTTGCTTGGAAATGTGCCCTGCAGATTTCTGTTTTTCCTGTTCTTTGGCAGAAGTGGTAAAGGAGTGGAGAGTTAGGAGACACTTCTTGTATTTAAATTTGTGGCTTCTGGAGTCAGGCAGGCTGGGCTGAGAAGCCTGACTCAGAACTTGCTGTGTGACCTTGAAAAAAACTCTGCTCGGTTTTGCCTTTATTTTCCTCATCTGTAAAATGGGGATAGGAATAGACCCAGCACTGGCCACTTAATTTGTGAAGCCCAGTGCAAAATGAAAATGCAGGCCCTTGTTCAAAAGTTAAAAAGAATTTTAGGAGAGTGACAGCAGAGTGTTCAACTAAGTGTGGGGCCCTGTACAGCTATGCACGTCACATGCCATGAAGCTGACCCTGCTGGATGGGGGCTGAGGATTCAGCATGAGGAAGTGGTGCCCTGCTCCCTTTCAGCAGTGCTGAGTTGGGTGGGAAGTGCCATCTCCGTGACCACAGAGACACTAGGCAACCTCAACTTTTGCCAGGTTGCCTATGGTTTCTAGAAGCAGCTCCCACTCTTGATGCTTTGGTACTACTCCCTGCCCAAATCCTCAGGAATATCTGCTTGTCTTCATCTGACCCTTTCTTCTTTTCCTTGCCCTGGCACCTTTTCTCTCCCCATCCATTTCACTTATCAATTTTGTTTTAAGACACTCCTAAATAAAGAAGATGTGGTACATATATACATGGAATATTACTCAGCCATAAAAAGGAATGAAATCGGGTCATTTGTAGAGATGTGGATGGATCTAGAGACTGTCAAACAGAGTGAAGTAAGTCAGAAAGACAAAAACAAATATTGTATATTAACATGTATATGTGGAACCTCGAAAAATGGTACAGATGAACCGGTTTGCAGGGCAGAAATAGAGACACAGATGTAGAGATGTAGAGACAAACGTATGGACACCAAGGGGGGAAAGCGGCAGGGAGGGGTTGGTGTGATGAATTGGGAGATTGGGATTGACATACATACACTAATATGTATAAAATGGATAACTAATAAGAACCTGTATAAAAAAATAAATAAAATTCAAAAAAAAAAGAGACACTCCTAAGTCAGTGATCCCACTGCATGCCCAGTGGAGTGCTGGTCTGCCACAAGGCTCCGATGTAGGTGTTGTGGTCAAGGTGCAGGATGCCATCCTCCTTTTGGAGACTCACAATACACTTGTGCTACTAGAGGCCTTAGAAGTCCCACAGTGATCAGACCTTTTAAAGTGTGTCTATACCAGCACCCAAACTTATTGACCCAGGAACTCTTTACATCATATTACAACCTCAGGATAGAACCTTGTAGAAATCACAGCTTAGCAAGCACACCTTCAGGCATAATAATATCTTTTTATCCTTTAAGAGGGTGTATTGCACTCCCAACACCTCTAATAGCCAGAGAAATCTCCAACACGTGGATTTTTTCCCTTGAAACCTGGTGAGAGAAGTATTTTTGAACCAGGGAAACCTTCCACACACCTGCTTGCTCTGTCTTCACCTGTAAAACTCCTCTGGGGTCTGGCCAGTCAGAAAGTCTGAGGGGTTGAATGTAAATTCCAGAAAGCGAGAAATGGAAGGAACAAAAATGTTACAAAATGTCCCTGCTTGAGATTCATTGACAGTTGGCACCATATTCTTTTGAGTGTACATTTATCCCAGAGAGAGAAACATTTCCATCCCATCCCTTGCCATTGGGCTTTTAAATAGCCGAACACTTTGAAAAACAGAGATGGTTAATCTCCCGTGAAAATGAAGCTTTAGCTATTTTCCACTTCATCAATATGACCTTTAGTGATATAATTCTCTTCCTGTGTATTATGCCTGCCTTTGCAAGTCAGTATGAAATAAAAAGCTATTTCTTGAACACACAAATACACATTCTCTCTCTCTTTCTCTTACACACAATTTGAAATGACAATTATGGTTAGAGCTTAGAATGGTTCAGAGGTTACTATAACTAAATGAAGTTAATTCTGTTTTGCAATTACCTGCATTTCAGTTTCAGTATTTGCTCAGATGACTTAAAGGCTTTGAAAGGCACGTTCAAATAAACTTCTAAGACCCTTCTAGCTATTGATCTCTGCTGCATTCATTAGATTCACTAAGAACACAGAGCTGGTTTGCTACAGTAGTTAGCATCTACCTTGTCATGTGACAACTGCAATTATATTTTTTGGCGATGAATACAATCTTTGCAGTGATTACCTTTTAAAAATTTTTCTTAGCCAATTAAATAAAATTTGGTGACATTTCAAAGACTGTTAATCACAACCAAATGCTCTAAATGTCAGGATGCATTGAAATTTTCACTGCTAACTGATGAATCACTGAGCTAATTGTAGTTCATCATCAGGCCCTTGTCATTGTTATTATTATGGAAAACACTTCCATCTCTCTCGCTATTCAATAAAAATAAGTTCTAGACAAATATGAAGAGAAGAGATATTACTCATCAAAGCATTTGAATTTAATTGCATTCTTCAAAATTCTCCAACTGCAGATTGCTGCAGAGAAAACCAGGGACTCAGCCATGGAGGAAAGTAATGGTTCTGAGTAAATAGCTCCGGGCAGCCCCTTCTTCCAGTCTGCAGTATTCAGATATCTTTATTTCCCTCTCTTTCTTGCCTTTTGTTTGGGAGAGTTTTTCCAGGATGTTTTCAAATGAGTTATATGAACAACAGTCCCGGGGTGTCCTGATTTTTTTTCCCTTCTGCAGCCTCTGTGACCAAATGCATACATCACTTGTATTCAGTGGCACGTCACTGGGTTTATCCAATGCCGTGAAGGCTGTGTTGTATTGCAGGCTCTCCAAAACATCTCCAGAACAACCTGTTGTTAAGACAAGGCTGCAAAGCTGTTCTTTCTTATTGCACTATGTTGGTAGTATCTTAGTAGCATCTCAGAGAGGAAAGGACAAAGTCATTTATTGAGACTGTGAAAGTCTAGTTGAGGTGGGTCTTCAAAGTGGAGGAAAGGGAAGAGGCTTTGTTGAAACTGGGTACGAATCCTAAGTTATAGTTTAGGATTGGTGGATGCAGCAAGGGGAAGATTTTGAGGTCAGGGTTTCAAAGAGTTTTAGGGTGTAAATTGTCCTTTGATGCTTTCTGTTGAAGAGTTGATGGGTCTTTCAGGAAGTTCCTGGAATAAGCAATAAAGTTATTTGCAGTTTTCATCTTCCTGAGCAAGAGTTTTCTAGAATAGTAAGTTATGTCAATAAAGACAGTAGAATAGGAATTACGTGGAAAGCTTTGTGGTCCGATGGCCTTAGTTCTCAGGTATTTCTACCTACTGATACTGTATCATGGGCCCTGTCTGCTCATTAATTTAAGGGCATCTGTCCAGTCTGAGTTGCAGGAATGGCTGTCAGGGCCAAGACTAAAGTGAGGCACTTTCCAAGGGCACAGAATTTAAGGAGCACTCACTCACTCTCAGGGTAGTGGCCTTGGTGACTGCCGTGCCACCCTGGAACACTGGAAAGGATAAAGGGAGGAAGAGCAGGAGAAGGAAATGCACATTTGTGGAGCCATTGGATTGAGGAATGTCATCTCATCATTGGGACGCCATAGGTAGAATGTACCGAATCTGGGAGTAGATTCTGGAGCCGGACTGCCTGGGTTCAGATCTCAGCTATGACAGATATTAGCTGTGTGATCTTGGGCAAGATAGCTAATCTCTCTGTGTCTCTGTTCCTCACCTGTCAAATGGGGTTAATGATAGTACTTATCTCAGAGGGTAGTAAAGATTAAGTAGGTTAATACTTGTAGCCCAGCATATAATGAACATATAACCTGTGTTGTAACAACCATATAAGCATATTATTGCCATCTTATAAATGGAGAAAAGGATATTCTGAAAAGAAACCTTATCCTAGGCACCAATTTGTGGTGCTGAGATGTGTTTGAGTATTTTCTGCTGTACTATGGTATTCCATGCATGTTTTGAGTTGGTTTTGCGTTGTCCTAATACAGCCATGAGGCAATTCATTCCATCCATCCATCCATTCATCCAATCTGCTTTCAAATTACTGCAACTTCAGACTCTCCAGTAGTATTCTGAGTTCATGGAGACTGGGCGTTACTCTTCGGTGTGAGTGCTTTCTTAGCTCTGGTTCATCAGGAGCCAGCAGCAAATCCAAGGGCTGCCTCCATCCTTCCCTCGTGTCATGGTCAACATATTGAACGTGCCTGTACGTTGTCACTCCATGCCTTTGTACATGCTCTTTGCTCTCTCTGAAAGGCCCTTACCCCAGATGCTCACCTCCTTCAGGTATTACTCAAATGTCACCTTCTCATTGAGGTCTTCCCCGACTATTTTTTCTAAAGTTGGCCCTCTGCATTTTCTATCCCCTTTCTTGCTTTTTTTTTTTTTTTTTTTTTTGACTTAGCATCACCATTATCCAACATACAACATAATTTACTTACAACATAATTTACTTACTTTCTTTGGTATCTCATCAAATAGAATACAAACTACACAAGCAAAGAGATTTTTGTGTTTCATCCTCAGTGCTGTGTGGGCACTTAGGAAATAATTTTACAATAAATGAATAAACTTCACAGATTGTAGTGGTGGGAGTTTTCACTACTGAAGGTTAAAGTTGTTTTGTGTGTTCCCCATTGTCATATAATTGTAGGGTTTTTAAAGGACATTGCTTTGTAGCATTGAATTGTAGCATTAATACCATTCATTAAGGGGATTCTTCACCAGATTCAGGGGAAGGACAGGAGTCTCTGACAACCATAGTCTGGTCACCCAAGCTACCACGCACAAAGGCTGGGCACTTTTGAAATGCTATGTAAAACTGAAAGTTGAAATTTAGAGTTTTGTACCCCAGTGGGCACAATCTTGGAATTTCAGCATGCTATACATACTAACATACATAAACAAATATATAATGTTACATGTTAACAAATATATGTTTAAAACAAACCCTAAAAATGGGGTTCTTACAGTGTAGTCTGAATTGGCACGTTCCTGACTTTATTCTCTATGTGTACAAAACCTCCTTGATTTTATTACATAGCACAGTCTGCATCCATCAGACTCATTCAAACTAGACTCATTTAGAGTTTTAAAGAGATGTTACCTGTCACATATTCTGCTGCCAGTAAATGTGTTTCTAAAAGGTTGTTGTGCCAACTCCTTTGGACTTGTATTCTGAAGTGTTATCCATGCTTGAAGATAAGGGAGGTTAACTGTCCTAGAATCTCACTTCCTGCCTTGTGTGTGTTTTTAGGAATTCTCTTCTGTGGTTCATATTTAGTTCCAGCTTTTCAGAGCAAATACGGAAATCCGTAAGTGGGGAAAGGCTTATCCTGTAGGTTCTTTTTGGTGATGCAGAATGAGCTCTCATTTTAAGAGGCTTCCTAAGCCCAAGATCTCATGCTTCTGAAGTCTCATGGATATACAGAGCCCTCTGATGAGTTTTTCAGTTTGAACTTATTTCTTCCCACAGTTCAACCACACTGGACAAGGAAGCATCTGCAGCCAGGCCATTATGCTCATCACTGATGGGGCAGTGGACACCTATGACACTATCTTTGCAAAATACAATTGGCCAGATCGAAAGGTAAGCCGATGTTGATGGCGTCCATGCAGTGCCACGTGTGGAGAATCTATATTGCATTGTAACCTCCAGATTGTCCATGGATAAGTACCCCATGTAGATTTAATCTCATGATGACCTGTGGTTTCTCAGCCTTGTGTTTTCTGGTTGACCAAGACTGAATACTATGGCTTTTCTTGTTTTCAAAGTGAAACTTCTTTGGCACAGAGAAGAAACCCATGAAGACATGTTCAGTGTGTTCAGTGAAGAGATTCGCTGTGAAGTATGCTTTTGTCCTTAATGGACAGTGCTTCTCTTTGTTTTCCATGGAGCCAGGGCTGCGTGCTGGACCCAGCATCTATAGAATGGTGAAGGCAGCCATGGTGGCCCTGCAGCCATCTCCTTTATGTTTCGATGTTCCTATCGTTCCTTCCTGGGCCCTCATTACCATCCAGAATCTCCTTTCCATCCCCCAGTGCTGTTCCTCGCTCTTGTCAAAGCTTGTTTGTTCTCTATTCAAATTCTTTCTTTGGTTTCCAAGCTAACATTTATTTATCTGATAAACACATATGTTAGGGTATCAGTGACAGATATCAAGGTTTTTGGTCTTTTGAGTGCCTTAACCCAGAGTTCCTCAAGCTGTTAGCCAGTTTGAATTCCCTATGGAGATCTTTTAAATTGTGGATCCTATTGTACACTTAAACAGAATCAAAATCTCTGAGGGTGTGGCCCAGGGTTCTGTGTTTTTAATAAGTTCCTCAAGCGGACACCAATCAGCAGATTAGCAGTTGGTGATCACTATCTCAACTAAATGGTGAAATATGAGCAAGAAAAAGAGGTGTGTCAGAGAGGGTGTTATCCTGGGGGTATCACAAAGGCGCTTTCCTATCCTATGTGCCAGTGGCATTACTCTGACTCTTTCTGTTGGGGCATGAGGCTATCTAGACCAAGTCCATTCTGCTTCTTCAACTCTGTATGTTTAATTTCTGGGAATTGAACTAACCACACCCATGGCAAAAAGAAACAGAAGACAAATGAGAACTGTGCACTCAGCTGTATCCAGAAAGCATGTACCCTTGAGTCAGCGTGAGCAGTCATTGCACATTCTTTCAGTCATTCTTGGTCCCCATGTGTCTCTGTTAGCACAGGCATCTCACCTCACCAAGCATGATTCTGGTGCTTAAAGATACATATATATTTCGTACAACATGGTCCCCAAATGGATGCCTCCCCTATTGCTCAACCTTAGAGAAAACCACCATTTCTGAAGCTGGAGGGAAAACTAGCTGTGCTGGGCTTGCTGAGAGTAGGTGGGACTCTGGCATGGCACCTGCCTGAGGGAGATCCAAGAATAAGTTTGGCTGAATGCAGCTCCCACAATAAGCACTGACTTTAGAGTCCAACTGTTGAATAAGATGGAAGTTCACTATTGGACAAGGTGATTTTAAATGAGATATTTCAGGTGATGATTTCCAGGGACACGTAGAGGCCAGAGTTAATTCCTGATAAATGTATGTGATGCAGAGTGAGGAGGATGCTGGCTATGCTTGCACCCCCGCAGCACACAGCACAACGCTGGGCGCATGGCCACTACCTAATGCACAACCCTGAGGTGTGGCTGAGTGACTGAGGGGCCTGGGGGGGAGGCCACAGCACTAGTAAACATGGGTAGGGCCATGGACATTTTGTGGTCAAATAAGATGTTCACAGATGCTGTGACATCTCACAGCATGTTGAAGGATATTTCACATTATTTAGGACCATCTTAAATAAAAGAAGGAAGTAAAAGGGGCTTTTAATAAGCAGCTACATTAATACCGAATGTATTATCTTGTGAGACTCGTGCTGAATCATATGAATCCCTCTTGCTTGGTGATACTTGATGGATAGCTGTAGCCCAGGAATATTAGAATTTAAACATCCTATCCTTACTTGCTGGGAGAGGCATAGGATGAAGGCTGCAAAGTCATAACTCTTCAGACAAAACACAAATTTCAACATATCTTTCCAAGGGAACAATATTGACTTCAGGCCAGGTGCTTTCTTGGATTAATTGGAACCAGGGTCCTGGAAATTTCAACATTACATTGAAGCAGTTTGATCTACTTATAAAATATTATCAAGCAGAAGCAGACTTTCTTTCTGTAGCAAGAGGGCCTTTATCTATGATTAGAAATTAATAGGAGGATCCCTCCCCTCCTACGCCGTTCTGGAGAGTTCCATGACATTCTTATGCATATACATTCTCTTCTTGATGACTTCTCTGTGAAGGTGCAGGTAATAAATTTACATAAAACCCCAATGTGATTTAGCACTGTGTTAAAGAGATGCTGTGTCATGTCTAAGCTGTCATTTTTCTCTATTGTTTTGAATGTTACTTAGTAGAGGGTTGGGTCATGCTGTTGTTGGCTATCTTCAGGATTACAGAAACAGGAAATGGAGAGAGTAAAATGATCTTAAGGCTGGAACCTGATTCCTATAAAACAGTGATTCTCAAACTTGAGTGAGGATGAGAATCATCTGGAGGGCTTGTTCCAGCACAGATTGCTCACTTCACCTCCAGAGATTCTGATTCAGTAGGTCTCGTGGGGCTTGAGAATGTCCATTTCTAACAAGTTCCCAGGTGATGTGGATGCTACTGGTGGGCGAACTGCACTTGGGAACTACTGTCACAGAAATAGCCCAAGGAATAGGGTTTGGTTACTTGGTGGGCTCTGCCACTTCTGCTTCCCTCTGTTTACCTTTATGAGGGCCTGTTCCCTCAGTCAAATTCAGTGCACAGGTATGTGTTTCTTGGCTCATACTTTGTTTAAAAAATTGTCAATTACTGATCATGATTTTAAAATCTGGAGACAGAATATAAAATTTTAAAGTTTTAGTTTCATAAAGGGGTACACATGGCACGTTGGAGCCAGCATTCTCATATGGCAAAAAACGGCTGGAGCTGAGGAATGGCTGCTCCCTTAGATGGCAAATGCCTGCTCCTTTTGGCCATGGCCTCCATCATGCTCCATTATTTCCTCTCAGCCCACTTCACTTAAATTCTTTACATACCCATAGGTGTAGGGTTCTGGACCACTGCTCTAGATTAACCCAGCCTCTAGGTATTTGTTCCTTTCTCTTAGGTCTGCCATAAGCTTTCCCTCTTCTTCTCCAGCCAGATGCCATCTTGTCTTTACCTGAGTCCTACACTTTATACTTCCTCAGAGCTGTATAAGAGAAGTGTGTAACTTAATGTCCAGTACTGTAATCACTTCTGGGCCTAGTTTTCATTTTCACTGGTTTGGTGAGTTCTTGAGGACAGATTCTGAATCTCTGATCAGTCCACCACCATGCACTCTATTGTGTCCCTGCTGAGAAGTATAGCATTGAGTACTTAAGGGTAGTCTCATGATTCCTGTCCACTGGTGTTTACACCCTGTATAAGCTCCTCACCTTGAGTGTAGTTTGCACCTGTGACTTGTTTCTAACCAATAGAATATGGTAAAGGTTAGAGAATCTTGCAGATGTAATCAAGGTCTCAAGTCAGCTGGTTTTCAGCTAACTAAAAGGATATTATCAGGAGTGGGCTTTACTTAATTGAAAACCCTTGAAAGAGGGATTGGATACTCCCTGGAGCCAGGAGACTCTCCTTGCTGGTTTGATGAAGTTAGCAGCTGTTTGGAGAATTCCATGTGGCAAGGAACTGGGGGCAGCCTGCCTCCAGCCAACAGCCAGAAAAAAGCTGGACCCTCCGTCTTATAGCCACAAGGAAATGAATCCTGTGAACGGCCTGAATGAGCTTGGAGGCAGATTCTTCCCCCGTTGAGCCTCCAGTTGAAAACACAACCCAGTCAACACCTTGATTGCAGCTTTGTGAGACAATGAACAGAAGATTCAGCTAAGCTGTGCCCAGACTTATGACCCACAGAAACTGTAAGATAACAAACGTGTGCTATTTTAAGCCACTGCACTTGTGGTCACTTTTTATGCAGCAATAGAAAACTATCAATATTAGAAGAAACAAGGTGAAGGTAGAAAGGAAAGAGAATCATTTCATGGTAGCAATGCTATGAAACATCTCCAAACTTAGTGGTTTAAAATAACCATCTATTATTTCTTGCAATTCTGTGGGTTAACTGGGCGGTTGGGTCTGCTCCCTGTGGTGTCCAGTGAAGTCACTGAGGAAGCTGTGTTCATGTGTGAGCCTGGCAGAGCTGCCTTGGTTCTCTTCCCTGAGGGCTTTCTTTCCATGCGGTGTCTAATCCTCCAGGTGACCCTGTGAGTCCTCTCTCTTCAGTACAGTAGCCTGGACTTCCTTACAGTTTGGCAGTTGGGTTCCAAGAAAGGAAAGGAGAAGGAAATGGGGAGCAGGCCAGGGGAGCACTTGTGGGTATCATGTTTTTTTGGTTTGTTTTTTTGCGGTACATGGGACTCTCACTGTTGTGGCCTCTCCTGCCGCGGAGCACGGGCTCTGGACGCGCAGGCTCAGCGGCCATGGCTCACAGGCCCAGCCGCTCCGCGGCATGTGGGATCCTCCCGGACCGGGGCAGGAACCCATGTCCCCCGCATCGGCAGGCAGACTCCCAACCACTGCGCCACCAGGGAAGCCCCGGGTATCACGTTTTAATGCTTCCTAATCAGGGCCTTGTGCGAGGCAACTGCTTAATAAAACATAGAATGAGTTGGAAGAAGGAAGCCATTACTGGTGATTTAACTATGAGTCTGTGAAGGCGATATCATGATTGCCTATGCAGTGTGTCCCTTGCCAGCATGTTATTTCTGGGAACAGAAATGAGGAGCTCTTTATTCGTTTATTGGATGCCATTTACTTTTGCCTAATATACATTGGTTAGTGGCTTCATGGCAGCTTACACACTTGGAATAAAATATGAACTCCTTAGTATGAAAGGGACTCATTCCAGGATCTACTTAAGAAATAAAGCTGCCTACATTTCTACATTTAAATTAGAAAAATGGCTATACCTGCCATTTATATAGTTGCTCTTTCAAGTGAACTAAAAAAAAAAAAAAAAAAAAGAGAA